CAATAAATCAACATAGTGGTATTGGTTGTCACTTCTGCTTATTTTCACAAACCTCCCTAATAGGTGTTTTACCTAGGCTGGGCTTCAGCTGACAGCCATTTATTCACACCCCAGCCTTGGGTACTAGTAAAGCAGACTGATGAGCCTAGCTCAGTAAATGAAAATAAGGAAGACGGAACTGAAACCCAAAGCTTCTCTTTCCGTTGCCATCCAATCCAGAGATGAAGATGTGTTTGTCCGCAGGATTTGGATCTGTCCAGTGTTACCTATGGGTCCACTGAAAGAAGAGTGTGGTGACACTCATGGGTACGGCCTGTGCCTGCCGGCGTGCCGACTGGCAGGAGAAAAGGCAAGGAGCTCCCTGTTCATCAGCAGGCGTCCCTTGTGTCAGGCAGCAGTGATCAGTGAGGAAGAAAGGTGACTGTGGTACAAGCCTTGTGCGTGGATAGTTAAAACTGTAAAAAGATTGAGACTTCTTAGTGTGGTAGGTGGATGCAGGTGCCCTGTGATGTGGAACAGCACAGGAATGTGAAGTTGGAGCTAACCCTGCAGAAAATTTAATTTAGCATAACATATAGTTCAGTGCACCCCAGCAGGGATCTCTCTCTTAAAAAATGTACTTACATTTGTAGCCTGAGTGCCAAAGCCACTCAACTTCACTGTGTTTTCATGCGTAATATCCGCAAGAGAAAGCAGCGCTCAATGTATAGGAGACATAACCTACATTACTTACTAATTTATACAAGATCTGAGTCTTTTGTTGATGTGCTGCAGCTTACGTCAGAAACTTTGCTTTACAGATACACAGTGGAACGGTCCTTGAATACAAGTGATCCAGTACCTGAAAGTGCAGGGGAGGATGGAGACAGGGAGCTCTTTACTGCTGAGCTCCACTGCTGGAGTAACATTTGGAAGAGGAGGCAGCCGAGAAGGGAAGGGCGGAAACCACCTTACCAACGCAAAGCTGTTGTTTATTTGTTGACAGTAGTTAAAGTTGGTCAGGGTGGTCAGTATAAATGTCTTGGAGGTGGGGATGGACGGTAGGAATAAGGGCTGGAGACGCTGCCACCCGCCCACCACTGGCTTCACAGGGAAGAGGTGTAGACAACAAAGTAAATATATTGAGTAAAAGCATACCCGTGGAAAACAAGTTAGATGGGTAGTTTTGCTGTTACTGTGCGTTTGCTTTGCAGGAAGATGGGAGAGACACAGTATCACACTCTCTCCTCGAGATACAAGTAAGGAAGGTACTTCAGTGGAGGCTGCAGAAATCCAGGTGGTTTTTTGGTCAGATGGGTGGTAGGAAACAAGATGCATCCTTTGTGGGCTAATTCATTTGAGAAATTGCCTTTTGTCAGAGTTAATGGGGAAAAAAATGAGACCCTGAAAGGGTAGTGCTGCTGCTGGTTTCCTCAGATGCTTTTCATTGCCATCACAGGGTGTACTGGGTTTGTTCCTTGGCTGTGCTTCCATCTCTGATAGTATCAGTAATTGAGCTGAATTAACACCAAAAATAGATTTACAGGTTTTACAGACACCTCCATCACATTTCGTATAGGCCACACTGTAAAAAACAAATGATTCTTGTAATTGTTTTACAGTGGCTTACTTTTGTGCTGGGACATTAAGTATCGTAACGTTTTTTTACAAATACTGTATTTAATTGAGAGCATTTTAGACAGACATGGGATTTTCCATGATATTGCAGACAAGGGATTTTCCTACACTTTATCCAGTTCCTTTCCTGAAGAAGTAGCTGGGGTTGTATCTTCCTCGGAGGATTTATTTTATCCTATACCTCCTTGTGCTTAAGATATCTGCAGAATGTTGTGACGTAAATGGAAATAGTAATGACTCTGTTCCAGTACAGGAAAATCATCCCAAAGCGCAGCTATTAAATAAAGATCACTGACAAAAAGGAAATGGGTCCCTCACTTTTATTTTTAAATTGATTAACTATTAGTATGTCTTACCATTTTGGACACTAAAATGGATTTCAGGATTTTTAGAAAGCTTGCTTTGCAAAGCAAGAAAAGTATTGTGAAATCCTTGGCATGTCAAAAGAGTTTCCTGGTTTATTATTTACAGTTCCCCTCAGTGGGAGCTGAGCGTTGGTCTCGGTGGTAGCCTTCACTGCAGAGGATTTGCAGGCATGATAAGCTTGTCTCCGTGAGTTTGCAACCTTACCTCAGAAGTAATGTATATTGCATATCAGGCAGTATTAAGTAACTACCGGGAACTCTGTTTACTTGCATGGAGAAGCAGTAAAATGTTAGTGGACTTCATTAAGTGTGTTTTTTGCTGGTGTGCTCTTTATGGAGATGTGATCTTCACACTCCCGCATTTCACAGCAGGCGCCTGATAATGCCTGGGTGCAGGGATGGATGTGGTACCGCGGCCGCACAATTTCATCCTCTGCTGTGTCCCTTCCTTTTATTGTGGTGTCCCTGTGTCTTTTCACTGCTATGTTGAGACATCATGGGCTTTATTTTCCTGTGTTTCTTGCTTAGGTAAATGAAGGCATGGAAATATCTGGAGAACTTCTGAA